GGAATTTTACACCGAGATTTACGCATTACCACCAAATCTCCTTACCTTTCCCTCTTACAGTTCGTGGTTGTCATTTTAAACACGGAACTGGAAATATGGGCACGGAACATACATGTAACTAACACAGCATCAGTATGTGTATCAGGATCATCCTCCTATCATGGTCACATCTATCAGTTCTATCTATTATTCACGATCCCGCTTCTTAAATTACCTTCCCTAATCCATCTGGTAAGAAGTAATCCATACTGGAACATTTCTGACGCAGCCAGAGGCTAGATCAATGCAACTGCTCTGTTCTTGGTCTACTGCTCACTGTCGGGACTATTTTCAACAATATGTGATTCTTCAATGAATCCAAATAGAAAGTGATTTTCAGGGGTGATTAAGCAAACCGACAATAATGCACTTTCTGTATCTGATATCAGTTCTTTAACAGGACTTACCTGTAATCAAACATACTGGAACACCTTGTCCTTTAGGAAGAACCTTTATATTTCTAGTGTTTGGCAAATGTACTGTAAGCTTTACATGTTTGTTTGTGTGAAGTATGTTTGTTTCACCACTTAATGGTTGCAAACTCAGTCAGAGGTATGCTACACAAAATCTCTGAGTGCTGTGTGGACATGTGCATAACTAATATCTTCTAATAATCATCCATCTTGAGTAGACACTTTCAATTCCGCGAGGGATTCCTAGTTGTTTTGTTGTTGACACTGATGAACATAGGTAGTGACATGAGTTGATGTGAAGTCTGTGTGTTCTTACCATGGTGTACCAGGCACCCCCTGTGTGGCCACAGGTTTGGCCTTCTCTCTGGCCTTCTCCTCTTCTGTCTGTTCATGTTCCGCTTCTTCTTTCTTCTCTCCCTGCAGGGATAGGCAAGTGTCAATCATCCTGTTTCAACGTTCCCCACTATAACATCATCAACTTTCATTTTGAAAGATGTGTGAAGTCAATCAACCCTATATAGCTGTGCCTTGGTATAGGGGATACAATTATTACAAAGCAACCAATAGCAACAATTACATGTAAATCAATCATATCAATAGTCAGGTGAGAGTCATACTCCAAAATGCATGGTAGAAATTACAAGTGAAATTGTTAGATCGAACCACTGTTAGAACATTCAGTAACTGTTACTGTGTCTGTGGTGGCCTATCAATGTGATTTATGTAGCTGGTACAATGTATGTGTAAAATGTGCTAATCAGCGAAATATTACGACACTGCACATGTACACGAGTGCCCCAAGTCTATTTAACAGGTAGTCTTTACGACGGGAAGTACAGATCCATCCGTGCAACTCTGTTATTGGAGTTGGGGCATCCTGGTCCCAGATTTCATTAAGCTCAACCTCCCTGTGAAAATGAAACTGTGAGTGTGGAGACACTCCGGGGTTAGGCTGATGCCTGTGGGTATTGTAGAGTAGATCGAACAGCCACTGGATCTCCAGGATGGGCCATCCTCAGCACCCATTACTAACTTCTACTTTCACAAGTTTCAGGACTCAAATTGGAACATGATTTATGACATCAACTGTTTATATGAGCTGCTAGCAAAATGTACGTATAATTTCAAAATGCTTAATCTACAAACTAAAGCTGTTAAAACTTGTGATATGTAAAGAACTGTTCAGGCAGTAACACAGCTGATAAATGTATCTCACGAAATTGCGTGGTCTTAATTATGTTTTCTGAACTCAGCACACATGTACATGTGCATGTACATACATTTGTAGTTGCCTAGTGGTATATGGGCTTTGCGCAACATAGGGCATTACTCCCCTTCACTTCTCCTATCGAGAATGGCCCCTTGGTAATGTTCCATCCACTATCGGAGATCAATCCATGGTGCAGCTTCCAAACCACCAACTGATCCATCTAGCCTTGAACCTGGCGCCGGGGAGATTGGATCATCTTATGTAGTATACTATAGTAATGTATGTAGTGTGGATGTAGCATACATTTGTACCTGATATTCTCCATCCCACAAAACATACTGCCACTTCTCTATGTAATAACAACCCCCAACAAAGGCACTACGGTAACATAAGCTTTTGCGTTAACTTTGTAACTGATGGGAGATTTTAAAGCCACTCCAGAAACTAATGGCTGGCCCGTGTTCCCGACAGGAAATCTATTCTTGCTTGCCAATTATAAAGCGTTCCCTCCACATCTTGCCTTTATCAATCCCGGGGGAGGGCTGGGCATTGATTTTGCCTGGAGATGCTGTTACACGCCGCTGAACAGTTTATTATGGGCTGTACTCCCAGCTATTGTTCAGGCCGCGTGAAGGAGAAGCCGGAGAGATAATGGTGATGGGATACCTGCTGTTCCCAGAGTTATTCCACAGATCAGGGACTGCATGTCTTCAGGCAGTATGAGGCTGATTTTGATCTCTTCCAGTGGGAGAAATATAATATCACAGCCAAGTTTTCTTATAAAAAAAAACATAATGATTTGACTTTTGTCATGATTCTTGTAGTGTTATTATTAAACATCTTCAACTTAGTACCAGTACTCAAATTTTTCTCCAGTTGTATTCCTTATAGAGAATAGAAAGACTTTAGAAGATAGGAGTACTGGTACTAAGTTGAAGATGTTTTAAAAAAAACACTACAAGAATCATGAGAAAAGTCAAATGCATGATGTTGTTTCCTAATTTTTGTTTGTTTGTAAACCTTTCTAGATTACAGTAATATCAAGATCTTGCACATTTTGTTGCATAACGAAAGAATCTTTTGGCTGCAGAAACAAATTAAAGTTCTCCAATAACTGAGTTCATAACAGAAAATGATGTGGCTTAGCTGGAAAATGGCAGGCATCTCCGGAGACTAACCCAGCCTTACAAAAAGTAACACCATCACATCAAAGGCACAAGAAGTATTGCCTTGCCTTAAGCTAGGGATATAAAACTAATACGCTCCATATATTTGAGCAATAGAAAGCCAATGACAGCACTACAAAGGCGAGTTTTATTACGACTTCTTGCGTGATATTGCACGGGCAATAACACTGGGAGATTTACAGCGTGGGGTAAAACTTTCATATCAACAGGATCTCGTCTTGGCTCTGTGACAGTGATACTTTATCAGCACTCATGTGGACTGTGAAGACATGCCCTCCGCATGAACTCTGGGGAATTGTCACCAACTTATGTCTGTCCAGAACAGTCTGGGCAGATGATACAGATAACAGTTTTATGTAAGGTTTCATACATACTGTAGAAGTTAAATCTTCATTTCTAACACTATTAGATGGATGGATACATGTTTATTAGCAGACATGCACTGCAAATAAGTAAGTTATGATGATATAACTCTGTGCCAATCTGATCTGCTTCTGATTGTTAAATATGCACTTGCTATTAAGTTGTTCTACATAAAACTGGCTTCATCTAGATGGAAAATGGTATAATAAAATTGGTATGTAATAACAGTGTCCCTATAACTCTAAATGGTCTACTCATTCCCAATTTAGTGCTTGTCAGGATTTGAGTGTTAAGGTGTAAAGATGTTGTCCAACAACCATCATAGATCTATGTCTGTGCTTGCCACTGTAATATCATGAGAGAGTGAGGAAACTCACCTCTGATTCGTCCCCTTCCCTTTTGTCCTCCTCTGCCCCTTCCTCAGTCTCCATCTTCTCCTCCTGGCTCTGTTCCCCTTCCTTCTTCTCTTCTTCTTTGGCAGCTTCAAGTCCAGCTGTACATAAAAGACAAAGTGACGATGTTCAATATTTATTTATTTATTTATTACAATTAACCACATACATAATATACATGGAGGGCATGGTGGAACAGGTGCACCTAAGTGCACCTTTTCAAGGCCACCATGCCCACCATGATCTAGGGAAATCCAAGCTGTGGACCAGGGTTTGTCTTACCTTGCTTACATTTGCTGACACCTTCCTGAGAGCTTCTGACTGTAGCACTGCTTCTCGCTACTCCAGTTAGAAGCTCAAGGGAACTTAGATATTACAACATGTTTCTTTTTTTGATAGAGAGACATTAAAGATGGTCAAAGCACAACAAATTTACTGTCTGCTTGGAGATTTATTGTAAACAATGTCAGTTCAGGTGTCTGCTATCTATGCATTATAAGTAGTTTCTGAAGAGTTTGCTGCTTATCAGAGCATGCCCATACATCTCGTTGTCTTTTCACTGCAAAAAGGAGCGGCAGCTTATTGAAACCCTTTCAATTACAGGCTCTCCTTTCGTTTGCGAGAGGAGGACCTGCAACAAATTCCTGCAGAATCCACTTCAAAGCCTGCCAAGTACTTCCACAAGGTTACCTTCATTACACGGCTTACAAGTCAAACACGAGCAATCGCTGGCAGCGACCTGTGTGATTGCTGTGAGGCCATTACCATGCCCACACACCAGGAGTTCACCTTGGGAGAGATGGATACACCCAGTTCCACAGAGAAATGCCGGCCTGACTACTCAATGTCTCGGGAAAGGAGGCCATTCGTAAAGGGAATAGCTTGATACCTTCCTCATTTAATACAAATGTCATGGTGCAAAAAGGAAGTCTCATGAAGTACAAGGGAAGCTGCTGGATGGTATACAACTTCGTAAATCTTGAAAAAATCAAAGAAAGCCACAACAGAAAATTTGTAGTATAGAGTAACAAAATAACATCCTCCATACACTGATGAAGGTTAGATATCCAGGTAAACAATATTAAAAAAAAATTCAAACTCTACAACTGGTAATGTTCTTAATTTATCCAGTAGTAGAGATTGGGGTGTCTTTGACTTGTACATGTAGTTTGAATAATATCACCCATAGTGCCACAGAATTATGTTCAAATCAAACTTCTATAAATGAAACACTTTTATCAAATGGAAGTGACCTTCAAGAATACAACATACACGCTTGAATTAAAGCCTTGGCTGTAAATGAGTTAGAGCCCCAGGATGTCCCTCCAGAAAACTTCAAAGTTTATGTAATTTACTATGTACAAAATTGGTCCCAACGAGCCGGGCGAATGCACGGTACACTATATATAATATATAAGGGAGGAAGGGCCGATGCACCAGGGGACAAATCAAGTGTAGCGAATGCATCATCAGCACACAATTATCCGGCGGCACCCATTGGGAGGGGTCATCTCAGATTAATGACGTGTTTCAAATGAACGGAAAGGTGTTTATAATCAAGTCTGCAGCTCGCAATTCCTAAGTGCTATATTAGACGCATGGTATATTAGATGCATGGTAACAAAACTGACTTCAGACTGATGACAAAAACCTTTAATAACCTACACGTCAAAAGTATAGTTTGTTTGATTTGTTACAAAAAATCTGAATGCTTCATCCCAAGTCAAATAATACTAGTGGGTGGCATCAACATGCAAAGTTTTGTTACTTTCAGTATAACTTCTGGTGGCTGTGATCATTCACATAGCCAGACTGGTGCAGAAGTCAACTACAGATGGTACCAAATTTCACTAACGACAAAAATGAAGGACGCTCAAGAATCCAAAGCAGATTCCCAGGCAAACTTTATGACTGGAATCCGCCATTTAGACAGGCCGAATACTCGAATCTTAGACGTCTAATCTCTCACTTAATTTCCTTCTGATTGCACCCGGCATGCCCCCCTAGATTTGATGAGGGAAGAAATTGGCTCAGCCCGGCACACTGATTGCTCATAGCCTTGGAATTAGTACCATAAATTTTTCATGTCCTCCTTCTGTACTCCTGGGCGAACAGATGGCTGGTAGACGTGCCGCGGGCCGGGGAGCGTGTGCGCTCTGCTGGGTGGAGTGTCATTAGGGTGACAAGTGTGGGGACGGGAAATGGCACGACTGTCTGTTTGTTATTCCGACATATCTTTCAGGATACCAATCGACACCACATTTCTGCGACTAATGACAGTTGCAGCCTTACTTTCCAGACAACCTGGTGTCCCTGCTGACTTCAACTTCTGCCGACACTGCAGACGGAGAGAAACTTCTGTATGTATTACAATGATTGATTGCACAAGTGGGGTTTATTATGTCTGGGTAAGAATGGCAAAGTGGATGGCCTGATTTCAAAGCAGCATGTCTAGTGCATTTACAATGTATGATTGTTTTCAAATGACAGAAATAAAGATTATTCTTTTAGCACTGGTAATTTAGGGATATAGGGTGCTACACTTTTGAAAATACATTTATGGTATAAAAACAAGTTGATCAGCACAAGCTAATGTCTTCACACCAATAATCCTTATACGTGTGTATAATCATACGAAGGTATTTTACCATATACATGTACATCTACCAATCATCTGACCAACCAACACTATCTGGACAACCATTATTCTTAAGCCACCATTTTTCCTCAGTCTCTGAGTGGTTGCTGAGACCAGGTTTGACTGTATGTGACTGAGACCGTATCTAACTGACACCAGGTTTGACTGTATCTGGCTGAGACCAGGTTTGACTGTATCTGGCTGAGATCAGGTTTGACTGTATCTGGCTGAGATCAGGTTTGACTGTATCTGGCTGAGACCAGGTTTGACTGTATCTAGCTGAGCCCCAGCTTTGACTACGTGTATCTGGCTGAGACCAGCTTTGACTGTATCTAAATGGTACCAGCTTTGACTGTATCTGGATGAGACCAGGTTTGACTGTATCTACCTGATACCAGGTTTGAATGTACCTGACTGAGACCAGGTTTGACTGTACCTGACTGAGACTGTATCTAGCTGAGACCAGCTTTGACTGTATCTAACTGATACCAGGTTTGACTGTATCTAACTGATACCAGGTTTGACTGTATCTAACTGATACCAGGTTTGACTGGCTGTTCCACATGATCTCACCTGCCGTGATGGCTGCTGTAGGGCTGGCAGCCTGCTGGTTGGTGGCATCGATGGCGTTCTGCAGGTCCTTGGGTTTCTCCCAGGTGGACTCCATGGTGCGGTGGTTGTAGTAGTACGTTCTCCCGTCGGCGTTGCGATGTTCCGACCACTCGCCGTTCAGCAGGGTGACCTGAGGGGTGACCTGTGGAGGAAACATGCCTGGAGGCATGCCGTGGGGAACCATCCCTGGAAAGAACAGTCAAAACCATCTTAACTTATTGGCACTTCTGGCAGCAGACCTACTTCTTCTACATGTACTACTCATCTAAAGGCACAACCTTACTCCTGTGCTTTTTGAACATCAATCAACAAAAAAAACACCATTATTCTACATAGGGTAGCATTATTTGAACAACTTCATGCAAAGTGATACAATCCAGCAGCTTGCATCATTCAGTCATAGCAAATAGCAGCAGCATTTCTTGAGATTTCACTTAATGATTCATACAGTCATGCATTTGGTATTTGCCTTGAAGCCTTATATACATGTAAAGAAGCAGTCAGGTATGTTAATCATCCTACAACGTGCATGTGCAGTGCCACTAAGTACATGCCTTTTCATCCAGTGGAAAGCCTGGCTAGATTGTGAATTCAAGTGTCACAGAGAGGTGTCAAGGTGCAAGACAGTGGAAAGTGCTATGGACATTATAAACACATTCTGGACCGCATGGGTCTTGGAGATGACAAGATGAGAATCAGAATGATGGAACCACATTTATAGAATCTATAGAGTGTTCTCTTTTTTCATGGAAGTATTTTTTTTAAATGGAACACTAGATGTACAACACTTGCTGGGCATTGAAATGTGAAGGAAAGGGACACGCAAGACAAATGGAGAAAGACCTGTTGCTAGAAATTATCTACATGATATACATATATACAGTACTCAAGGTAATGGTGATGATACCCTTACAAACAATGCCTCTTTTAACCTGACAATGGTTCAGCTGCACATCCATTCAACTGCACAACGTGCATCCTTACAAAAAGTATCTCGTCATCGAAATGTTAAGAACTTTGAGCTGTGATACATTGCCGATGTTCTGTTTTTTTTGTGAGCAGTATGCTGATGATTGGATGTAGGAAGATTGTGCAGTTGGAGGAGATGGCACAACAGTGGGAGGGATCATGCACAGGGGTGGGAACATGCTGTAACAATGTTAAGAACCTGGAAGTGGCATGCCATCCACGAGGGGGCCAGCATGGATGCGGTACCGACGCAAAACCGCTGTACCACCCAGTGGATGTCGGATTTTCCCCTCTATCAACTCGGGCCTCAGAAAAGCAACATCTGAGTTGAAATAAAGGCCTGAATCGGTCAATGCTGTCAAGTGAGTCCTGGGGGCATTCAAAGGTTGCTATGCACTTTTGGTACAAAAAAAAATGAATAGGGGGGAAGAGAATGTTCGGTTCAAGAGCATTGGTTTGCTTTAGGGCGAATCAGAGAGACAAGGTGAAGGGGAAGTTGTAACCGACTCGTAAGATTTACATGAGCATACTCAAACCTGCATCATATAGGAAAAATCTTTTAGGGTGTTGAAGATTTAACAAACAATACTGTAGCCCAGTCTGTCCTTTTTAAACAATAGTTACTCCTGTAGATAAGTCATGGCAACACCTAAGGGTGGTCAGTATAGCTGGGTGTAAGCTGTAGAACTTCTCATCACCTTTGAATGTCATGTCACTTCAGTTTGGGCCAAAGAGGGAGGGGCATTCTTATAACAGCCAATATAAATATCATCGCTCCAAAAACAAGAAAACCAACTGGGAACAGGGAAATGTCCATCTGTAACAAGTTGAATATTGGGAAAATTACAGTATTTTATTTACTCTTGGTGTTTATTCACTTTAGAGAAAGATGCCCTCTCAAAACAAGAGGATGCAAATGGCAAAAAGGGGATCCACTATATAATTGCAATTTTAAGAGCCCTTCTTGGGAGATGTCTGTGGTTAACAGTTGTGGTGACAGAAGGGAGATTAGCATGTTTCCCGGGTGACAGTGTCCACCTTCACGTAGTGTAGGTCAGGGGAAAACTCCAGGAGTTAGCTGACAAAGTGTACGTGGTTCACACAGCACCAGGCATGCACACACAGTCATTACCAGGCATTCCAGGCATGGGCATCATCCCCGGGATGGGCATGCGGAAGGGCGGCATCATGGGAGGCATGGCCTGGTGGATCATGTGACCCATGGTGGGCAGTCCGGGCGGCTGCTGGCCTGGTACAGGTAACATGGGCGGCGGCTGGGTCAGGGCCAGGGTCGGCTGGGGCGGGGCCACCTGGGCCGGGGCGGTGGTGACCGGCTGGGCGGGAGGGACCGCTGGAGCCTGGGTAACGACTTGAGCTGTAGAACACGGAGAAAAGAAAATATGTATGAATATAATATGAAGGGTTTAAGTATAAAAACAACAAGAAGCATTTCACAGTCTCTTAACTGAATTACACACTACTTTACATGTACATGTATTCAACACCACAATTTTTTACACTAAAAATACATGTACTCTAAAACTAGAAAAATACTAGACTAGAGTTTGAGGTTTCGAGAGTGATCAATCTGGTAGTGATGTACTGCCTCATCAACTTTGATGGGGCGATTTTCTACTGTATGGCAAACTATTGGAAAACAGATCTAGGAGTATCCACAATATTGGTGATGAGCCAGCATCTTGTTTTGAAACATTTCCTTCTACATGTTACTCATTAATCTGTGTTTTTACTGCAGGGCTGAGCACCACACAAGGGAGTAATGTAACACAAGAAAAGCCATATCCATCGATTTTCTGGCTTAGCTACTGGGAGGAGTGTGGCACAAGTATTGATAATATCGGTTTCAAAATGATGATGCCCCTTTGGTCATGTATGATCATATCATATCTATTCATCAACACACGTATATCTTCATCTACTAATGGCTTACTTAATAAAACCATTCAATACCCTCACACTTGAAAACAGAGAACAGAAAGAAGCACTGGTTAGCATTTACATGTATTCAATTCAGAATGACAGTATCAACAGGGGAAAAGTTTTGCCATTCACAAAAGGACAAGAATCATATTGAAAAGAAGAATGATGAATTGTGGGACCACGGAGGTCAAGTGCTCGTCGTACATCATCCCATGACAGTTTGCTAAAGTTTGGACTGGGCCATTTGTTTGATGGCAGAAACACGGGGAAGTAATGGAGTGCACTTAGGTGTTTGAAGGTGAGGCGGAAATGAGCAGTATTAGCGTGTTTGGATTGATTTTTACACAAAAACGAGGTTCCTCAGAGGACAAATTGAAGAACTTCAAGGCCTTAACTTGACAGCCTAAGAGGAAAATGTACTAATATTGTTATTTTGGCTCTAATTTTCAGCTCCTGTGAGTGTAATTGCCTCTCAGGCGCTACACTAAGGAAGTTTTAGTGCACCAAAGAGGCCACATCAGCAATGCTGCTGAGACGGCAAAGCACACTGAGCTGGGGGCAGATATATGGGTCAGAACTAATCCACTAATATCCCTGTTCTACACTGTAATAAAACTTAGGAATGTATCAAAGTGTCAGAAACTTCCTCTCGGCCATTTTTGCACTTACAATACATCTTCCGTTCCTCCACTCTAGAGGCTTGGTCCCATTAAATGCATCAGCATTGTCACAGGGAATATAGACGTACATTCCACTGACTACAGAAAAGGCTCATGTGAGATTTGACTGTTAGCTTGTCTATGTCAGATTATAATAGCGGAAACCGGAGGACAACTCCCGTCGGTAAGAAGTTAATGCAGCTCTTAAAGCTCTTTTATGATTGATATGAGGGAGGATAAAACGAGTACTTTGCTGTGCTGGCTCTGCTTTTGTCAGGGTTGCCACCGTGGGAGAACACGTTGCGTGAGGCGGTAAGTGTAAAGCAACAAGCTAAAAGCCTGCTGGGGTCCAAGGTCGGCACCAACACTTCTGTGGTTAAACTAGGGACAATGACTGCTACCAGCAGCAAACAAAACGCTGCAAATGGGACAAGGGGGTTTTCACATGCAAACAATCCACGGGGAGTGATTCAGTCTGCAGCGCTTCAGTGTACAAGAAACAAGAGGAGATCCCGGGTGAATAACATCACAAAGAAACATCTACACTCATTCACATCAACTGGCAATACTTATTGTGATATCAAGACAACCTAATCCTATATATATAAAGGAAGGTAGGCAAAGAAAAATACCCCTTAGCTTCTTGAAAGCCTAATCAGATTTCTGAATAGCTCTTCAGGGACCTTGTGAAAATAGTACAAAGGAAGAAGCCATCTTAAACAAACCCAGTCTGAATCTTGCTTTGTATCAAAGCAGAATGAACTTAGTTGAGAAAACAGTGTACAGGAGACAAAGTATATATAGTCTAGGAAAATAACTGGATTTAACAGTTGAATACTGATTGTGTATCTACATTTATGGCTGTCTAAATAACATGGTAAAGTTTAACTTGCCAACAAAATGTGTGTAGAAACCAGTTTTGTTTATTGATGATACAGAAAATGCAAAGAGATACAGTAATTGCATTTTTAATTGACAATGATAGCTGTCATCTTTGCTGCTTATTGAGGTAGACATAATTAAATGTTAAATAGGAAACACTTAGAATGACATCCCAACACTGGTGTAGGAATATGGTATAAAGCTAGATGTATAATTTAGGTGTAAGACAGCTGGCTTTTACCGTGTATGATCTCATGACAAGAAGTTTATGAGGCGTCCATCATTAAAACCTGGTTGATGTATAAAGGGAAAGGCACATATCTCAATGTTGACTGCCATCACCAGATGGCCCATAAAGCAGCCCTATCTACAGAACCGATGTGTCCGTGTATTAAAGACCAGTTCTGAAGGATTAATGGACAGGAAGCCTTTTAGCCATAACCCGAACAGGTCAAAGGTCAGCGACAGAATTTTCCATCTCCAGTGTTGTTAAATGGCCTAGTATACCATGGATTACGTTTTGGGCGGCTTCAAAGCCGGCCGGGTCAAAGGGGCGAGCATTAGAACCCGGCTCCATCTCCAGTAGGATGTGGGTAGTCTACAGTCACACTGGGATGTATTTATCAACCATGGTTAAATGGCCTGTAGTTGGCTGGATTATGGTGTGGGGAGATGTGAGCTCTGTCAGGGCAGAGGTTAGATATGAAAAACTGGGCGATTTGGGGACTTATGGATGGCAGGAGGCCACAAGGTTTTAACTGGGAATAAAGGTTACGGCACTGCCCTGCTGTAATGGCAACTGATCTGTTGGAAGGAGATATATTTGGTAATGTATGCAAGGCCCTGTAACAACTACGTCAAAAAAGGTGATTCATTTCTTTTCAAATACATTTTCAACACAGCCTCTGCATCTTTTTTCCTCTATTGTTTCAAACCATTGCTGGCTGTAATGAGATCTTGACAACGTTAGACTGAAATGTTTCTGTGAGACCTAAATGTACCTGACTTGGAGTTTCTTGGGAATTGACATGATGTTTAATCATTTCTGTATCTGTATAGCCGGTATAACCGCCTTTCGGCGTAACACACCAGCTACATCATTGATGTGATGTTTACTGTCTGATATAATAATGCGTCTCAAATGAAACATTTGCATTCATGGAATACTGCTCAAAATCAGCTGAAAAAACTCGGGCCACACTAACTCGTTCTTGGCTACTTTCCACAAAAGAATGGTAAGTAGCCTGCTATGGTATGCTTCACAAGGAATGCCCCCCTCCCCCAGGATAAAGTGGTTGATGTTCCCTAGCTGTCCTGTTCAATATTACCACAACCTTCAAAGTGCAATGTCAAGTACATGGGGACATTACGCTGCTACACTTGCGTAAATCTCCCAGAGATATCAGCGTGGGATGTAGAGCCAAGTCCTGGGAGATACATGCGGATGGTCCTGCAGCAATGTCGCGGACCCTGCACCTTCTTAATGCTTCTTATGTATCACTGAGGTCGTGTGATGGAATAACACATGGGACTGAGATCAGCACATTTGCCATGGGCAACGCATCATCACTGCATGATGGATAAGAGAGTTTTGCAAGGATAAAGTTCCCTTTTTCCCCAGTAGAAGATACATTGTGAATTTGTAGATGAAACAATTCTGTGAAACTGCGTTGACTTTAGGGGAATTTGTACTCTTTGCCAAAAGGAAATTTTCCTGCTGTGCATATGTGATACTGAGATTGTATGGATATATGGCTTTAGTACTTTAGTAAATGTAAAGAACTCTAAACATATGTATAAAACCGCATGGCAGCCTGCAGGTTTTATTCCTACAATTCCATCTGTATCAATGGTACGGTGGTGACTTCAAAGCCAATTATGATAACACCGAGTCATGAGAACAGAGAACCAAGACACAAAAACGTGGTGCGCGTTTCAGATGTTACCGAATGCCGGCGGACTCCTGCTCTAGTATAATTGGATCCTGGGAAAAATCGATACAAGGAAAGGATAGGCTTCCCGGACTTGACAAGAGGAAATAGACCCAGCCGGGTTTGTGGGATGATCCCCGACAGTTATCAATAGCGTGTCAGGAGGAAGTAAATGGTCTCCTGTCAGGAATGTGACACTTCCCTCCCTCAAGCAGGATGACAACGCACGTCAACAGACTTTACCACAATCCTGTCACATCCAACTCATGCACCTGTTGGACTTTTCTCCCGACCATGGCTGCGCAGACCTGATGAATAGGCATCAGTACACTATATTTTTCACACAGAAAGACTGGCATTTTTCACTTTGCTGCATTTCTGAACCCTCACAGGCATCTTACATCTTTTACCAGAGAAATTACAATCTCAGCTCACATATGCTGTGACCTCTGATCTTCTTATGTCACAGATGAGGACAGGTAATGATGATATGTTATCATTTACAGAGTTTTTACATCACGAGAAGTGTTTTATCAATAGATATACGTGGACATGCCAACAATATTTGTGTGAAAAAGTATGACCTTTCAAAGGATCCCCAAATGTTTCATCAACAAGAGTTATAAAGTATGCTGTGTTTTGCACAGAATGGCTTGTCAGGACTGAACACATCCATGATGATGTGACAACACAAACAGTGACACCTGAAACATCTTGATGTAGCTGCTTTGCGTATCATGAAAGGAGAGGAGCATACATGATTCATGTCAAAATTAACTGCGCCTAATAAATGTGGTGACACCTGATCATGAAACAAGTCCTAATGAACATGGCCTTATCTTGATTTCTGTAACATGAAGCTGTTGATACATGGAGAAAAACACATTAACCTTGATTGGATGATACATATACGTGATGGGAGATGGGATGTTATGTCATCTCATAGGGACCAAAAATGGGTACATCAATTTTGCTAATGAGATAATAGGAGTGTAGCAAGTGCTGTGCTGTGCATTGTTAAATTACTTGGAACTTGGAAAAATCCTACTGTGCCGTGACACAACTCCCATCCTTTTCAGTAAGACCCTGCAGGGATAGCATTTCAGTACCAAGGACAGGGATACCAACACATCGCTCAGGTACATTCTGCCTGTTTCTAGTGCCGGAAGGAAGACTAGTGAAGAAAATATGTAACCAGTGTTTGTGAGGGCATGAGATTTACATTCATTTCAGTAATGCTTCATAATCTGATTGTCTGCTTCAATCATTTTGTGACTAATCTTGATTGTCATCGTCCTACTGTTTACCCACTGAGCTATCAGAAAACCAGGTATTTCCAGGAGATATGGCTCAGGCCTTCAGCTTTTCCACATTTATCTGGGAGCACAGTGACTCATGCTGATAGATCTTCTTGTCTTTACTTCCAATATCAAAGAATGTAGTACATCTTGTCCTGAGGGAGGGAGATGAAACAACAAGACAAATCGACTCAATTCTCTCCTGCACACAAATGGCCACATAGGTCAGGTCTTATGGGAGTCTTGGCAGGCCAGACGATGAACACAATCTGTCATGTCTCACTTTCAAAAAAATTGTACAAACGGTAAGGCACATCCAAAAGGCAAGTCAAATTGCAGTGTATAGACTATTCTACTTATAGCAAAGACATCAACTACATTGCATGTAGGACATAATGCTTTTAGCTTGGCTCCTTCATTGTTTAGATCTGATTAGCTTAAGGAGGCATTATAGAGAAATGGTCTCTGAGTTGCTTCTGAAGAATGACTTGAAGTCTTTTCCTCTGGGACTTGACTTCTGGGACTTGACTCTGGGAACCAAGGCAGTATGCACTTGTAGACTGATGGTTAGTTCCATTTTTACCCGCATCACACAAGCTTGGAGAGGTGGACAAGTCATCAGAGCAGGTTAACTTAAAGCAAAGCTATGTCAGCTTACTCTTTTAATAGAAGTGCATGTATTAACGCTGGTCACAGAAAGACAGGCATGGCCTTACCAGGCTGGGGCTGTGCCTGTGTTGATGTGGTTGTAACTGGTGCTGTAGATGTTGTAGGAGAGGCTGTAACAGTGGAGGGTGTGCCAGTTGTCGACGCTGAGGTAGCCTACAGGGTAACAACATCAATACAATTTTACAACATCAAAATTTGCACTTTGTACGCAGCATTGTAAGACAGTCCATAGCTATTCCTCATCAGTGATCTAATTCTAAGTTTCGTACACACGACTTATGGAACAATTATATCTACATGTATTACATTAGACCAGGTTATGTATACAGTCAAAACTGCTCAAAACTTTTAAAATAAATTTAATACTTGTGTTAATGGGAAAAATCATTTTAGGGATTACAAAAACATTGGCAAGGTGGTCCTTTTAGTGGTCACTTGTACAATCAGTATGTATAATCACAAGTTCTTGAGAGCATGCCATGACGTCAAAGTCATCTAATTGATGTAGCGGCCCCTACCTGTGCGGCCAAAGCTTGCAGCTCACTCTGCTGGATGATCTTGACATTTGCAGGTTTAGTCCAGGTGGACTCTCTGGACCGAGCGTTGTAGTAGTACACCTTCCCTTCAGGAGTCTTGTTCTCCACCCAGATCTCCTGGTTAGGGTCTAACGTGGGGGGCTGGGTGCTGGGGGAGGCCGGGGTGGGGGAGGCAGTGGAGGGGGCTGCATGGGGGGTGGCTGCATGTTGGGGGGCGGCTGACCAGGGGGTGGGATCATCGGGGGTGGCATGCCTGGCATAGGGGGTGGCATCATGGGCGGTCTCTGCAATGGAAGAAATATCAGTGTTAATATCAGAATAAGACAACTTTATATTGCATAGCAATTGTGTAAGGTACACTGTACAGTATCTTTTGCTATCCACGTCACAAAAGACTGTAGTATGGGATGGGAATGTGCTTTTATAATCATTGGTGAAATTTCTAGCATCTAGGCATTCTTAAAAGTAAGTTTATTGACAAACCACAATTGCTATATTATGCAATGAACTACTTCCAATTCTAACACATCTGATGGAAAAATCTTGTATAGCTGGCCTGGAAAAGAATGTTTAACTATATTGTTCAAATCTTGCACATTTCAGATGCTCAGTTTGCCTGCTACAAACATCACCATAAGTATACATATTGTATCAGTCATTATCATAGACTTCAAAGTTTCAAATGAATGTTACTTGCAGTAAGGACCTTTCCCTTGCAGCTTGCTACACATCAAGCAAAAATGCTTCACTTCTACAATCGACTTATTAGCTTTCAAGTAAAAGACCAAAGCACACCGCACTACATACATTATAAATAAGTGGGAGCAACGTCCCAGCGAGGATTTCTGTCAAACTTTGGATGCCTTTGATACCTAGCTTGGATAACTGGTCGGCTCACTTTCTAGGTTGCCTGAGCTCCACTTGAGTGGAGAAATACCCACTGGTCGAACCAATATGCAAACACACGGAGGACTGATTATACACCCCCTGGTTTTCTTACAAAGACGGTGCAACAGACAGATGGGTGTGAAATGTGATGAGAAGGGACCTGATGATCCTTAAAAGGCCTTCCATCTGCATTTCTGTTCTGCTAGAATGGATCGTTCATTGAACCGCTGCATGCACCAGGCATAAAGTTGTCTGGAGAGAGTGCTTCATGCTCCATGCACAACTAATGTGCTATTGGAGTCGTCCTCTTGATATTAGCTTTCAGCTCAATGACTTGGAGTGTGCTCCGGCAGCCACAGAAGCTGTTAGTTTTACAGTATCTGGACACAAGTCTCGGTGACACAGTTACGTACGTCAGACGTAGCTTGATTTTACATGTATGGTAAGAAGTCATGCTGGTTGTCTTTTCTTTATGAGCCAATGGCTGTACTTACAATAGACACAAAAATAATCTTTGGGCAGTGCAGATTTAATAAAAGGAGACTTCCTCATATCAAATTTTTCGAACATCATCATAATGTTCCTGCTATTATGCAGGTCTTCGGAATAAACAGCTAATTAAATATAGTTGTCGTAACACAAGTTGGCTCTTGAGAACATCTAGTTGACATCTCCTCAAGCCCCCTTAAAAGTTTTGAAATGCTGTTGTCATATTGATAACATCTTGACAGATGATATTTGTACTACACAGTTCAGTAGATAAGAAGCCCTGTGATGACAGTCTCTGTGGATCACTGATTAATCTGACAGCTATGCACACTCCAACAGAACTGACCCGTATAAACCTGTACCCAACATCATGCATGTTAAGTACTGCAGGCATGTAGGGTGTAGTTATCCAAAGGGCAAAGAGTTCCCAGATAGCATGCTAAATAGGACGAATCAATCAATGGCAAAAACTGAGCAGCAAATCTTCTGACAACTCTGTTATCATAAACATGCACGTACACCAAAACTTCACGTACTTGTAGTTGTACAACTTTTCATTGTCAGACTCATAGTAGAAGTGAGTGTGCCTGAGATCACTTTAAAAGACACTAGTAAAAGTCTGCACTTTGCGTTTGTAAAATTGTTATCTATGAGTGACCTACACTAATCCATAGTAAATGATACACCTACTGCATATTCTACTAGTAAATGATGTATCAGTTACCAATCATTCCATCTCAGAAATGAACACTGATAACTTATTACCTATTCACCATCCAACAAACATGCCTAACACAAGAGTAGGATATGGTTCCATCCAAGTTTCTTCCACAGATCATGTTCCAGTATTACACGACGCTGTTTCGATTTCAAGTGCATGTCTGATTGAATCCGTATTCATTTCTTTGAGTGCGTCGTACATTAAGTCCGATCGATACCCAAAAACCCTGGACACGAATAACGGAAAACATGCCAAGCCCGGTGATAAATGGTGAGGATTTCCCCCCGCATCTTGGCAGCAACTTCTCCTGCAAGGTCCCTCGGATTCATCAGACTCATTCCCAGGATATCGCGTTCCCAGGATATCGTTACAGCGACATAATGGGGCTGATGTATGACGGCGAGAAACGCAGGCAGCCATCGACAGCCAGATAGGGCTCATTCCAGAGATTAGAAGGGTTGAGGACTGATACCCTTACCTCTCAGAAACACGCCCCATGAATGTGTTACAGCTTTTATTGTGCCATACATCTTACTACCAAATGGCGGAGGGGTGATGATACTGTCGCGTTAAGAAGTTCCAGTCATGAATATGAAGGTGGGCAGGAAATCTCCGAGGATCTTCTGTAGTCGTGCATTTGGGTTGCCTGTAAAAATCCCTTTGTCTATTTCCCTGTTATAAATTCTTTTGTTATAGATAGATAATGGCATCTTTCCTCTTAGAGTCCTCTGGACAGTGAACACATATTTTTGTTCCTTTGAATAAAAAAGGTGAAGGCTACCATTATAATAAAAGGACTTGGGGCAGGGAAGGTCATCTTGCTTTCTAGATACCTTTGCAAAGCAGGAAAAGTGCCAAACTTTCAGTATTCTAAAGGCTATCATGCCATGCACATGTCTGTGGTGCTGAAATGTCTACTGCTGTGGTCCTGTCCTTGGTGCTGAATGGCTATCAGACTGACGTACAGCTTCAAACAAAATAACTACTGCAGGAAATTTTTGGACACTAAGCCAGGACTCTAAGCAGTTGACTGAGAATTCCAACCAAGTTTTATGCAAGCAATCCTACACAGATCTACACTGAACCAGAGGCGAGATAGGGGAATCTGTCAGCTCAGAGTTCCCCATTATTCTGAAACACATTATGAACGACAGGGATTTGCCTTTCCAATGATGCCATGAAACTTGCCGGTAGATTTATCTGAAATAACAACAACTGATTTATGGAGGAATATGAAGCGCATTATAACTACAGGCATTGCAAGTCTGTGCCACTGCATGTAGATATTGCATTCCCCAGGCATATCTCTGACATCAACTGTTATGAGCAGCAATGCAGCTTTCAACTCAAAACAGACTACAGAGTTCCTGTGTTCCACACTAGAGCTATTCCATTAAGGAATGAGATGAGACAACTGATTGCCTTCCTGTTCCAATATTCATTGTATCCTCCAGCTCTACTGACCTGTGTGCCAACCTTACATTTTGACCTTTTCTGCAGATACTATGAGTAGATATGCAATAATCTTATCATTTTAATTACATAGGCAATACTTCACAAGAATTTTCTACAGTGCTGCTACCCCATCTCTCAAAACAATTCAGCTCAATATCTCTTTTGGATGGAATAAAAATTAGGACAATATACAAAAAAGAATATTATCACTATGAAATATATATCAATGCTGAAGAATCTGTCAACAGTGATGCTATAAGATTTAGAAAAACTACAAAATAGCAAGTGTAGTATACCTGAAATAAAATTATATTATATATATATATACATTGTACATCACAGGACTTAAAATGTGCTTTTGTATGTAGGGCTTGAACTGGCAGTACTAATGGCCAAAGAGTGTCTGACCATATAATTGGGTCAGGGTTACTACAAATTACAAGTGAGTCGCTCACACCCCAAACTTGTTCCTAGAGAAATTACAGAGTGGATGTCTATTGCATGTACATGTACTGCTGTTCATTCTGACCTCAGCATATTCTGTATTTGGGGATCATGTTTTATGCATGGGAGTATTGGGACCTTTGGAAAATTGAATTTGGTCTAAACCTGTGGTACCGCCCATTCACGATACCATCATAAGGAAGCTGCCAGAGAAGTGGATTTGGTATTAATGACTCGTGCCGGTATTTCCTGACATATATGTAGGTAGCTCTTATTGCACCGAGGATATACGAACCAACCATAAGTAATTTGTAATAACAGTCGGCCATGAACTAATCTGGCTAGTTTTCCTGGAAATCACTTAGGGGTGTGGTCAGTGAAGAGAAAGACCAGTCATGAAAAATAACTTCACCTATGTTCATCTTTATTTCTAATCAAAAAATTATTCACTCAGTCAGAATTATCGAATATTCTGTTTAGGAATAGAGAAAAGTGCATCTAGGCACCTCAAGAATCTATTCAACAGTTAAAATTCAATACATAAAGTCATTGTTTGAATTTGGAATTCATGTAGGCTGCAGTCACACCCTTTACTGCATTTCCTGAAGCGAGGTCTCACCTATACTGTGCCTTTTCATAACCTTTAACACCCCTTCCTCTAATTTACTTTTAACCTACTGACTCCTGCATCTCTTTTTCTCATTTAGTTGTAACCTATCGACTCCTGTATTTCCAGTGTTGAATACATTTGTACATCATATTACATTGATGGCAAACTTTACTGACCTTTGTCCTGAACATGATATAAAGAAAGAAATCAACCTTGTAGATACGACACAGAAAATTGACTGCATTGTGATATTGGCAAACATGACGCACATGTATACTTGGATTTCTTGAGAGCATTTTTACATGCAATAGTTAAATCCACAACTCCAAAAGGAGCTGGAGTAATAAAAAGTTTATGTTATTCCACATGTTGAATACATAATGGAGACAAAGTAAAATATTGATGAGTGGAAAGAATGAACGTTTTAGGAAGGTCCCAGTACAGCAACTCTCGCCTTGAAGTCATGGGTCTCTAAGGTCATGTTGGGTCTTAAGTCATTGGCCATTAATATGGAAATATGTAATAATCATTTATGATTCTGAGGAAGACTACAGTAATTTGATGTATGCCTTACATATTGAAACAAAATCATGTACAGCTAACTACTATACACATGTATGTTAACTGCCAAATAGGGATATGTAATTCATGATCATTGTCTCACCCTTATACTAGTT